ATTCAGAGGGGATATTCCTATCGGTAACAGGAATTTGGGAGTTCTAGGTGATAAGACAAGAGGCTGAGAAGTACTGGGAGTGGGTAAAACTTCAGGAAGCGTCCTTGAAAGAATGAGGTAGGATCGAGGCGGGATGGGAGTGGGTTCTGCTAGAAAAATTTGTCATCCCAGAACATTTAGCCATAAGATAGCCTGTGCTCAGAATATCATCCTACAGAGCTTGTTACCCAGCACAATCCAGTATAAATACAAATTATGTATTAAAACAACGTGTGATCTCTGGAATTCAATGACCTTAAAAGTTAAGTGGTTCCCAAACCTGGCTGTGTTTCAGAACAATTCATAAAGCTTTCTGATTACACAGATTCGAGGCAGGGCACCACACCAAGCCTACGAAATTAAAATATCCATGGGAGACCAGAAGGTCTGTATTTTCAAAACAAACAAACAAACAAACAAAAAAACTCCCTAAACTGGTAACCACTTAAAAAAATAAAAAGGAATTTTATCTGCTGATATTGAACCAACTCCAAGATATATTAAATGAAAAAAAGCCAGATTGAGGACAGTCTTTATAACATGTTGCTACTGTCTGTGAAAAATAAAGAGTATGTGTGGGAGAATATGTACATGCACTTGGTTATCATAGACAGACTCTAGGAGACAAAAAAACTGGTCACAGTGGTGACCAGGGAGGAAAACAGAGTAGCTTGGGGCAGGGTTGAGAGTTTACTCTAGGCCTTTTTTGGTATCACTTGAATTTGTACCCTATAAATGGATTGCTGACTCAATAAAATAAATAAATAAATAAATAAAAGTCAGAGTTCTCCAGGTAACTGTAATATAGAACCAGGATTTGGGAACCCCTGATTCTAGGTACTCCTCACCCCCACAGCATCTAAGACACTGTTTATATAGCCTCCTGGACTGCTCATTCCATCTTGGAAAGCTCTGTTAGTTCTCACTTTCCTTCTTAGTGTTAAACAGAAAACTTGTAGCCACCAAAGAGGTTCATGCTGTCTCCAGTAACCATGCAGAATAAATTTAATCCTGCTCCCAGCACAGTTGGGTGAAAGGAGAATGGAGGGGAACATGTAGAACAGTAAATCAGACAGGGTTATCTTTTTTAAATATAAATGTAAACCTTTCAATTATTTCCCTTGCCCTTGAGATAAAGTTCCAGAATGAGGTCTACAAGCCTCTGCAGAATCTGTGCCCTCCTCTTTCTCCCCTCCCACTTATTCTCTGCCACACACAGGGAGGTGACTCCTTCTAGCCTCAGAGCCTTTGCTTAGGGTTGGTCCCTCTGCCCAGAACACACTTTCTTCCACTTCCAAAGGACTTACCCTCCAGGGCACTTCCTCAGGGATTCCTGACATACCAGACCAGATCGGATTCCCCTCCTAAACACTCTCATAGTAGTCACGCTTTTTCTTTGCAGCAAATATTCAGTCTACATGTTCTGAGGGATTCCCTGTATCCAGCACTGAGTGATACTATGGTAGGGAAAAGGAAAGCTGGGATCTCTACCCTTTTGTGTTTATGGTCATTTGTTGGGGGACTCACCCTGATTAAATTATCATAGAAACAAATGTAAACTTGGTGCCTGGAAGATGGATGGTAACAGGGGAATCTATCAGTCAGGGTGTCTGAGGATACAGCTTTACCAAAGGGGTGAGTGTTAGCTGAGAAGGGTATTCCAGGCAAATCTCCAAGGAAGCATTAATCCTCTCTGTTTGGATCTAGCAAATTGGTAGGCTCTCTCAGTAGAGACTGAATGAATGAGTGAACAAAATTTGACTTGCCCCAAAGCAGAAGTGGATTAGAACTCAAATCTCCCAATTCACAGTGCAGGGCTCTTCTCTTCCCCTAGTGCAGCTCCAAGATGTTAGAGAGTATGCCTAAGTGAATGTGGAAAAGGGTTTGGATAAATTATTTTTTTCCTTTTGCTTCCATTTCATAATTGATGAATCCATACATAATAAAAATCAGCCCCAACACTTCATCAATTTTTTTAAAAGGAAAAAAATGGTTTTCTGACATTTCTGATACAGTTTTCATTTCAATATTTGGACTTGCTGGTGGAAATGCTTCAGTATGTCAACCTACTTGGGCAAATCCCATTCAGGAAATGTCTGCTCAGGCAAAGACTTTCCATTTATTGAACCATTAAACAAATATTGGCTGTATAATTATAATGCACACACATACAAAAAGTTCTAAATGTTGACAGTTGTTTCTCTGAATATGGTAGAATTACAGATGATTTTTAAAATTATACTTATCTGTATTTTCTAAGGCAGTAATTATTTTGTATTATTTGCATAGTACAAATCTTTGTAAGCAAAAGTTTTTTTAAAGAAACATTTAATTTTTTCCATTTTATTACTTTTTAACTGAAGTAGAGTTGACAATGTTGTGTCAGTTTCAGTTGTACAGCAAAGTGATTCAAAAGAAACATTTAATTTAATGAGTTTAATGGTAGGCCCTAAGCAGAGGTAGTGGTCACAGTCTCCACCAGACATCTGAAATAAATATACAATCTAAATAAGCAGAGTATTTGCTCTAAATATGCTCCCCAAGGACAAGTCCTCTTGCAGTCTGATTGCTGTACCTATGCCTTTCTCATAAAATCATTCATTCTAGGAGTCACTACTGGTGCAGGGTATATAAAAATAAATATGGTCACCTATAAGATGGGAATAATTCCTCTCTCATATAATTGCTGTAAGGATTGCATGAATTAATATAAAGCACTTTGGAACAGTGGCACATAAGCAAGCACTACACAAGCATTAGGTGTTATATTTATGGCATCGCTATCTAGGAGCTCCCAATAGGTAAGAAAGAGTGGGAGAGAAGGAAATAATTCTGAGAAAATATGTAAGAGCTAGAATGGAGGAGAGCAAAGGATGCTGAGGCCCACAGCCCACACCGGAGGGTTAAGTCTTGTGGACAGCGGCACATGGCCCGGACAGCCTGCTGGACAGGAGCACTAGCGCCCTGGTGTTTGGGAGGCAGAGCCCAGTCCTTGGGTCATTCGGTTCTCTTTCTCGTTATAAATTTGGGGCCTGGGCGCTCGGTGAGGGCGAGGGACCCGCCTCCTTCACCTTCCACATTTCCTCAGTGTGTGGGACGCGCGGAAGGGGGACCCAACGAGGGTAAGAGGCGACCGAATTACCGCGCACTGTGTGAACTACGCTTCCCAGCATGCAACGGGTCAAGAGAGGGCCTTCCGGTCTCACCCGGCCTCTCGCAGGTTCACCTGGGAGTTTTCATTGACCTCTGAGAGCTTCACGTTCGGAGAAGCTCCGGTCCCTTCTAGGCCCCGCCCCTTTCTGAGAGGTGGTGACCTCGCAGAGTCCCGCGAGCTGCTTCCTTCTCCCCCTCTCATTGGTCCAGCCTTGCTGCCATTCCTGTGCGAGGAGGAGAAGTTACTTACTGATTGGTGGACTCCGTTTGGCGCCAACTAAGAAAGAGGGGGCGGGGCAGCGGCAGATCCCAGTGAGTCCCTATCACCGCGAAAGACCACTTCGGCAGCGACAACTCCGGAGGGAAGTGGAGGTCGGCTTGGTTCTCTGTGTCCCCGGGCTGGGCAAGAGAGTAGGAGAAAAGTGAAGAGAGTGAACCCTGGCCGTTGCCTCTCAGCTCTGGCCGCTCTCCCTACTCGACCCACCCCGGTTTTTTTTTGGATTTAATCTTCAGGTTGCCGGCGCCCGCCCGCCCGCCGGCCTCGCGGGGGTGAGGGGAAGCACCCGTGCCTGTGACTGGCGCCTGCCGGGTTTGCACACCCGCCCGTCCACGCCGCTTTCCTGCGGCAGCCG